TTCACCGGACTCTGAAATGATTTGATAGAAATTTCAGGATGATTATCGTTCATGTCCGTCACCTGTATTGTCACTTTACACTGTCCAGATAAAGAGTTTGGACCCTTATCACTGGCTATAACCTCCATCTCATACAACTTAAAATCTTCATAATTTATCATTTCTTTCACTCTGATTTCACCATTTTCTGGGTTCAGTTTAAACACACTCTGGGTTCTCTCTGACGTGTACAAACTGTACGAATAAACAACATCAGAATTAGATGCTTCATCTAAATCACTAGCGTTCAGGTTGATCACTAAACTGCCTATGGGGGAGTTCTCCATCACATCCACCACGTACTTGTCTTTGTCAAACGAAGGGGCGTTGTCATTTACATCGAGCACGCGCACAATTATGCTGGCTGTACCTGTGCGCGTGGGCACCCCTCCATCCACAGCAGTGAGGATGAGGTTATGAACAGCCTGATGCTCCCTGTCCAGAGGCTCTTTCAGAACCAAGTCTGCAAACTTGGTCCCATCTCTTCCTGTTTGAATCTCAATTGAAAACTGATCGCTCGCGCTCAGGTGGTAATTCTTCACCGAATTAACTCCGACATCTGGGTCTGCAGCATTATTCAGGGAGAACCTCTCTCCGACCGGGGTTGACTCAGAGATGTCCAAATGCATCGTTCCTCTCCGAAAATGAGGAGAGTTGTCGTTTATATCTGTAATTTCTACCTCGATGTTAAACATCCGGACCGGGTTCTCAATCGAGGCGTCTAATTTCAGGAAGCAGGTTGTAGCTGTTTTAAGAGGACAGAGGAACTCCCTGTCAATCCTTTCCCGAATAAAAAGCTCCCCGGTGTCCTTGTTGATATCCAGATATTTCTTGTTGCCCACCACGTCCACGCGCATTTTTCTTTTGCTCAAACTCTTCACATCTAAGCCTAAATCAGTGGCCAAATGTGCCACGACAGAACCTTCCTCCATTTCCTCCGGAACAGAATAGTGCGTGACCGTAAGCACCGTGCCCGTGCGTGAAGAAAGGAAGATAAATAGTGCGACATACCAGTTCCTGAAACAATAAAATCCTTGAAGAGCCATGGAGAGAGAAAAAAAACGCCAGTCCAGACTAGAAATTCACCGTAAGAGAAGTCGAGATGTTTCCAGACAATGAATCCTGTTTGACTATGAAGGACTTCCCAACATGGCTGCCTCCTCTTTGCTCCCAGAACAATAAATGATGACTTCATAGATGCCCTTTATTTTTTTTTATTTTTTTTGGAGAGCAGCGACATGCATAGCTCTTTTTCAAAATCGAAAACTCAAATTAAACTGAAAAATATAATATAAACATAAATATACTTTATATATTATAATCGTCTATTCAAGATTTGCAAATGTTATGCAGTAAGCAATAGACATTGTTACTGTTGGATTATTTCATAATATATGTAGTGTGTTGCAAATGTATATAATTTGTTGATTTGATCTTTCTGTCAAATTTAATGTGCGTGCACACCTTTTGATGCTTTTGCAAATGTTCACCTTATGAACAAAATTGCTAAAGAACCTAAACCCTCATATGTTTATTTGTAACAAATTGTGCCAATGTACATTTTGAATTTCAAAATACATTTAAAAAGTGAACATTTTGACTGAAAATACAGAAACAGGAACGAAACAGCGTGAAATCATAATCAGACATTACAGTAAACGTTCCGTTATGAAATTAAAATGAACGTGGTTGATTATATTAAAGCGGGGGTGTACAAATGTTTTTATATGTGGGTCAAAACTATCAAGATGGAAGGACTCATGGGCCACAAAAATGTGAATTTAACTCTGAACGTGAACAATATTTTGGAGAAAGGACAAAAGTTGACTAATTTTAGCAAATAAAGTTTTGAATTGTTGTACACATTAAAAACCTCGCAAACACTAACCGTATACATTTTTATTAAAAAGGATTTGGTTTATTTGAGTGGTTGGGTCGATGTTTGTTGTTTTCTTGTGTTTGAAAAGTTCGTTTTAGTCTGTTTCTCAGCAACAAAAGCATAATGTGAGTAAGTGTCCCTTTAAAGGGGGGTCGATCAGCTTTTTGGACTATGGACGGCCCAAAAAGCTGATCAATGTTATGAAAATCATCTAGCTGTCAGTCTCTACAACAGATTCACAGAAGGTTTGATACATTTGATCGAACCGTTTAAAATTTACAGCACATATTCATTCAAAAAATGTCAAATTATCCTCTTGATTATTTTATCAACTGCAACATTCAGCCAAGTTTTATGCGAAAGACTCCATTCTGGTAGAAATCTTTAAAGGTGGGTAATTTGAAGTGGAAAAAAAAAAGATTACGGCCAAATGTTTGTATTTTGCTTTATATTGCTCATTTTGAGAATATTGTTTTTCATCTGTTTTTTTCTGTTAAACATAAACATTATATAAAAAAGGATAATGAATTAATTTGCAGTAAGTCTGCATTGACCTCCTAAACGTACTGGCCAAAATGATAATAATCTTAAACTGCAGTTGTGGGCCGCACAAAATCACACCAAGGGCCGCAAATGGCCCCCGGGCCACACTTTGGACACCGTGTATTAAAGGTTTGAAAAGATCACGCTTGATAAAAGAGAAAGCTAGAATGTAAAAAATAATAAAATTAGGTGATTGAAATGATGTTGTTTTATTTCTTGTCCTTAAGATTACGCTTTTATGTAACTAGAGGTATGGTTGAAAAGGATGTCAAACCTGCAGAGTAGAAGCAGCAGAGTCGCTGGTCTCTGACAGTCCTGTCCCTCTGGGGATACTGGACAC